CCTAAGCCGGAAAGGTCCTTGATGCAACTGTTCATGGATATATCTTTGCCCAAAATTGCACTTGTACTTTACTTCTGGAACTATGAGTACTAGAGTACAATGTTCAAAAGTAGATTGACAAAATGGATCTTCCCTATCCCTAGATGTCGTTTACATGACTTTGTGGAAGGAAAACGGGTATTTTAGGACATATGGTTTTTTTCCTATTGCAACTTCCAAGATCTACACTACTTTTACCTTTTAAAAATATTTATAGTGTGTGTTTATTGCTGAGGTTTATTGGCATTTTTTTAAATCGTTTCATAATTCAGAAATATGGTCGTATCTGCTTCCTACTTAATAGTTTTGTTTTTAATTTCCTTCAATTTGTTTTTAAATATTGCTTATATCTAATTCTGTGCAGTACTTTTAAATATCGAATGTTAGATGTGCCTCTAGGACTGAAAAACATTTTTGTATTCTCTTAGTTTATTTTTGTGCAATGTCATAGTGCTGAATTGTGCAGTATTAATAATGTTTTTGATATAAGTCCATCTCAATGTTTCTCTGATAAAACTAGATGATGCTAGCACAAATTCCAGGGAAAACAGTACACCACACTTTCGTGGTTTTCTGTTTGTTTGCATATTGATGACAAGTTTGCGCGTAGAAATACATTGTTTTAGATTGAAATTATCATATTACTATATATTGTACCTTAGCAAATGGAAAAATATTTAAAAAAACAAAATACATAGAATATTATATTCAACACATAATATAAATGAGAATTGAATCCTATTTTTAATTAACAATGAATTATTCTGAATATGCATTGACATTGACAAAATTCTGTAAGATAGTTTAAGAAGCAACTTTTTATCAGAATACCATAAAAATCTGTGATAAATTCTGATGTAAATGGTATATAAAAAGCCCTCTACATAAAGCCACCCTCGCCCAGTAGCGTAGAAGGCAAAAAAAATGAAATTCATAACAGTATGTTGTCAAAAAGGTGTCAATTGTACTTGAAGAAAGTCAGCGTTGGCACCCAAACGTCGTATAATAAAGCTGAATTTTTGAGCATATATGATTTGGTTCGGTCAGACAAACACGGGGAATTATCAACATTGAAACCGCCGGATAAGTTTCAGAGGTTACATTATCCATTCCACAATCCAGCAACAACGTTCACACAAGAACAAGGAGAGTTAAGCATTTTTTTCTTAAGCGCGTGAAAGAATGCAGATACCTTGTCAACTGGATATTGCCCATTAAGTTTTATAAAAATCTACTAATTACCCTTATGGGTACGACGACGTAATTCAGAATGTCAAGCCGCTTCGTCGCCGTGGTTTCGTGTTAATCGTGTTGTAACTTAGAAGCCCGATTATCTTAGTGCCATTGCGCAGTGGTTCGTGATATAATAATAGAGTCGTTAACTCAATCTTACAAGTTTTTACTAACTTCGTCGGTTACCTTAATCCTTCCATCTATATACCTAACTCCTTTTGCTTAAGCTCATACGACTTTGATTCTGAAGTAAATTAATGACCAATAATAGCATTTCAGTTTTATGTTCCTACGTTATGCAACAACAGTATTACAGCTATGCTTCTCCTAAGGTGAGTCTCACAAATCCAGGGACACTTGAGGCAACTTGTGTCGCAACATGTACACGGCAAATTTTCTCTATTATTCTCATATTATCCAATGCAGGTCATTTCTGGCATATGGCACGCAGCATATAGTGTTTTGCATAAAAAGTTATTACATCAAAATAAAAAACAGAAACGTCGGTAGGTTTCCCCTAGCTAGGTACTGTGCGTTGTGTATTCTGTCTGATATGTTTTCGGCACACAATGGTAAAAATCATACAGCAGATAATGTGAAAATACTAGGAAAAGCCATAGATAGAAGCCTAAGTTGACAGGCACATGTAATCCGGAAGATAAAGAAATTTCTACTTGAGGCATCCATTGCGACTTTATAATCATATGAGCTACGAGATATTCCTCGGCAGTGGAAATTTTCAAATTGTCTAAAAAGGTTGTTCGCTTAATTGCGGTTATCGTGAACACTGTAGGCGAAATTTTATCAATCTAAAGTTCCTGACTTAACTGTCACTGTATATCTACTCCCAGCTATTGTAGTTTCATGAAAACAAAGACAGATACCAACTTACTTCGGCATTTCATACGTATAGCACCCGATTACCTGAAATAATAAGATCTCACAAATATCAACTAGAGGCCCAAACAAAACTCCCTCAAGATGGAACTATACAATCTATTACCAACTAAAGTAGGAAACCTTCACTTTAATCCTACTACTGAGAAATCTATTCTGCAGAATAGTGCATGCTGCTGGGTCCGTGGATTCACCGATACCCTGAAATCAACTCATCTAAGCTCTTTCACATATTATAGTAATCAAATAAATCCTATCTATCTTTGATGGTACCCATCTAGGATAGACCACTGTGAGATATGCTTCAAACATCGTTAAACCGATAAGTTTTTGTTGATAATCAAGCCATACTTTTACTAGACCAAGTAACCTGAAAAATAATTGGGGCTAAATACATTGTTTAAAAATGTGATAAGCGCTTCAAAGAGTGACATGTTCCATGTATTTCTTCATTTTTCTGTAGGGATCAAATATCCCAGTAAATCTTCGCTCCTGTTGGGTAATCCTGGGAAGTTTGATTAACTTATACCAGTATGTGAAGCTTTGAATAGATAACTTCATTTACTTAGCAGGTACAGCATTTTTGCAGTGTTGTAAATACAACCACGACACAGCACGTATTGGTAAAGGCACATCAATCCTCCTATTTATAGAAACTTTTTACTTGATTTTGGACATACTCCTAGCCTCGGGAGTATTGGCATTGTTTCTCTAATTACGCTGTTCAAAATGTATGAGTCCGGAGTGGACTCAGAATATTGGATTCTGAACTAAGAACGAAATGTCTTCGAAATATAATGACGGTTGCTTAAGACATGAAAAAATATGTGCTTAAAAAGCAAATGCTGCGTACCTAACAATCCAAGAGAACAACGTTGTTTCGTTCAAGCAAGTCACCCATTTCATGTTAAGGTTGGTATGCATTGTAAACGCTGTGGAAACCGAATTTGCACTACCTCAGCGACAGAAAAAATATGGGGCTTCCAGTCAATATTGTTGAAGCAAACGTCAGATTGAGTTCTTAGAAATACCGGTAGTTCTTTCATCAGCTAGACCATGAATTGTTTGAAAGATGAATGGCATTGTTGAGACTTTCAAATGGCAATAAACTCCGTGAATATATTCAATGTACGATGTGAGAAGGTTGAAACTTCCTGAGAGTCTGGGATCAATTGCCCAGCTCAGCAGAGAATTAAGCAATATAACAGATAACTTACAGAAAATAGTAGTTTTTATTATTCATCGTGCATTCTTGAATTTTGATGTATTGTTGATATTTAAAATATACTGTTTTTTGAAAAATCCTATGCATCAGCACAAGCCGTGTGTTAATAGTTTTAATGTTAATGGACATATTATCATTTAGAAGACTAACGAATAATTTAGTGTCCTGTTTTCATGTTAATAACCATTGATAAACAACCAGGTTCACTAAACGAATGTATATAAACTGTAAAAGTAATAGCTGCCATTTTTATGTAGATCCTACGAACAGCTTCAACCAAAGATTTATTGGAATAACGTTTGAGCATAAATCAGACTTTTGAAGTACCTACACCTGCTACGGCGATGTTTAAAATGTAAAAATTAATAGTTGCATGTTTTTTGGTGTTCGGTGAAACGGTAAATTATCAGAAAACCTTGATATATTTCTTTGAGTTAATTATTATTGCCTTGCTGACACTTTCACTAGTATATTTGTTTATTTGAGTTTTTTTGTAGCATGTACTGACACTCCTTGAATTAATAATCTATTATCCTCCTCCAAAAATGTTACATATTGATATAATTGTATGTTACTGGATCAATCCCTAACGAATGCATTATCACAACAATGTCGGAATTCAGAAACTTTTGAGTTATCTGTGATATTGATATATTATATCCTAAAACTTTTTTATGAAACTTTGTCTGGTGGAAATTATAGCATAACGTGCAAAAATTATCGAATTCAAGATGTTTTCAAGAAGGTGATTATTGCGACTCGGCGAGTTAATGCTGATATATCCTACCCTTATTTCAATAATGAATTCTGACTTGAGGATAAATGTATGGGAAAATATATGATGAGTGAAATATGTCTAATAGGTGCGTAGAATTACCTGTCTGCACATTCGTTTAATAAACCAATGTCTAAACATAATTGTGGTTTTAAGTGCTATTGCAGGAAAGCATTCACCTATGAAAGGTCGTAACTTGACGTGTGATTGCTCACTACAGACTATGAGAATTGTACGACAAACAAATCCGTGACTAACTGCTTCTACCTAGTCTCAATTGGTTGTGTACGACAAATTAACTTTGGTGCTCTAGGTGCCAGCAAACATATCCCTGCGCATTGAGCTTTTCAGACGACAACGATGTGTGCTTTCTTTGCTTTCCAATGTTTGTTTCCAAGACCTACACCGTATGGATATTACCGACAAGCATGAAGCTGTCTGCGGTTGGTCAAAGGAACAGAAACGGCGAGCAAGTTTTCTTGATTCATGTATTATAAGCCATACAGGGTGTTTCAGTTTATTGTTGCATAACTTTAAGATTCGATAGAACTTTTAAAATTGAAGCATAATGTCTATATAAACGTGGGTCTAAAAGTGCGTGGCTTCCGAAATTTAGGGTGTTTAAATTTACTTTTTAAAATAGTTTTTTTTGAATATTTCGAACAATATTTGATGTATAACAGTGAAAATTGGTATTACAAGGGTTTTTGGTACGACAAAACGAACCATGTCTTACTGTAGCCGCTAGAGGGCGCTCTCTACTGTACCTGTAGTTTTTTTTTTATACTCCAACTACCACGAAGACCTAAGGCCTAAGCACCCATTGGGTACCGTGGGGCTATAGGGGGATACATGGGAAAGGGGGGGGACGCCACACGGACTCTGGCGAGGGAACACGGGTGCATGCAACATGCACACATTCTGGCTCCGCCTACGAGAACCGCCGGGTGGTACCTCCGCGTTCGACAGTCAGAGACCATCTACCACCTACGGACAATCACAACATCCATAGCCAAGAGAAAAATTTCTCCTGGGACGGTACTCGAACCCGCACAGCGCACGGCGACTGATCAGGAGATCGAAGAGTCTACTACTGCTGCTGCAGTGTTATTCGGTCATGACGAAGTAAATGTGCAGTTTCGCAATTATCTCCGCTACTGCTCCATCAGTAGTGTATTTAAATGACCGAAATTTTTTTCTTAATGCAATTTTTTGCTTTTTGAATAAAAAAACTGATTCTTCGCAGTTTTCTGCATAAAAAAGCTCTCTTGTGAGTCTTCGTTATAGTTAGCCGTTTTTGAGGTATTTCGATTTTTAAGGTTCGATGAATTTTTAATTATTTATGGGAAAATAATATTTTTTTTTACATTTTCGATTTGGGCATTACAAGTAATTAAGATGATCGTTTAGATTGTGTTTTTAAACACAGCAATAGTTCCTAACTCCAAATAAACACAAAAAAACAGAATTTTAATTTGTTTAATTTTCCAATATTATTTTTAACAAATTAAATTAATTATTTACAACTAAAATGCTATTGGATAGTTAGGACAAACATACGAAATCTAAAGTAGTTGCTCGAAATGTAAACCCAATTGTTCAATACACAATTCACATCTACGAATGATCGAACGTGGTATAGCATTATTCAAATAAGGCCTTATTTCATCACATGCATTCCTGATTCTTTCTATTAGCATATCTCTTGTGGTTACGGGAGTCTGGTACACTTTTTCTTTTAGAAATCCCACACAAAGAAGTCTAATGGATTTAGGTCAGGGGATCGTGGAGGCCAGGCGACTGGTCCTCCACGGCCGATCCATCTTTCTGGATAATTTTCGTCCAGCCAGTTTCTAACTATTCTCGAATAATGAGCTGGACAACCATCAAGCTGGAACCAGGCCAATCTTCTTAAATCTTACATAACATCATCCCACATATTTGCATGTTCAGCCTTTAAAAATTCCAAGAAGGCAAAAGGTAGGATCCAAATAGTCGATTACGGTAGATACCGATCCACACGTTCACACTAAATTCATGCTGAAAATTTATTACCCGAACTGCATGCGGATTTTCATGCGACCAAATATGTTGATTATGAAAATTTACTACTCCACGTCTAGTGAAGCATGACTCGTCGGTCCATAAAACGTTACTTAAAAACTCCATATTATTATCAGCTCTATCAAGAATCCACTGACCAAATGTGATTCTTCGTTCTCCATCCCCTGGCTGTAGTCCTTGCACAGGTTACCAAATGGTAAGGGCGTCTATGGTCATTTCTAAGAACACGGTGAACATGACTTGCTGAAATTCCCAAGGCACCAGAAACTCTCCTAACACTTGTGGTCGGATCTCTATCAAACTCACGCAGAATCATACGGGTAAATCTGCGCTGACGAACATTTATGTTTTGATCCCTTTGGAGATTTCCAAAACCATTTTCAATTATTTGGCGATGCACTCTTACAAATACTGAGCGAGTTGGATGTACTCTGTTTGGAAATCTTCGTGCGTATTCTCTGGCTGCTTCTGCTGCGTTTCCATTTACAAAGCCATATACAAAATGAATATCGGCTTACTCTTGATTGGAGAATAAAAATGGGATTTTTATAAAACTTACAAAAAAAAACAGGTAAAAGAAACTAGATTTCGTGCATTCACAATTGCAAAAAAACGTTTCAGGTTTCAACAGACAACAAAACTAACTGTCAACTAATTGACGTTTAACCTGATTCTGCTTTCAATTTCAAAAATATTTGCAGGCAGAGCCTACTTCTAAAAATTATTGAGATACTGACTTTTTTACGTTATTTTATCATAAATAATTAAAAATGCGCCGAACCTTAAAAATCGAAATATCTCAAAAACGGCTAACTATAACGAAAATTCACATGAGAGCTTTCTTATGTTGAAAAGTGCGAAGAATCAGTTTTTTTATTCAAAAAGCAAAAAATTGCACTAAGAAAAATTTTTCGGTCATTTTAATACACTACAGGTACAGTAGAGAGCGCCCTCTAGCGGCTACAGTAAAACTATGCCCATGGTTTCGTTTTGTCGTACCAAAGAACCCTTGTGTACCAATAAAATTGTCACTGTTATACATCAAATATTGTTCGAAGTATTTAAAAAAAACTATTTTGGAAAGTAAATTTAAACACCCTGTATTTCGGAAGCCACGCATTTTTAAACCCATGTTTATGCATTAATTTTAAAAGTTCTATCGAATCATAAAGTTATGCAATAATAACCTGAAACACCCTGTATAACTACTGCCTAACGGCCTTACAAGCTTTGACACAAGGTTGCACCGGATAATCTTGATAAATTGCGTGTAACATGAGATAATGTGGAAAATACCTCATTAATATAAGCCATATAGCTTTCGGTTGTCCGACCATGGACAATGGCTTATGCTCTTGATATTCGGCAACTTTTCTGTATGTTCTGGACTTGTTCTCGGTGGACAACAAATGAAACCTGAGAAACTATACTCGACCCTGAGTATAACGTCTATCAATATAAGGCAGCGCAAAGCTCTACTTGTGGATGCCATATCATGTACCTTTTAATCTTCGATTCTGTTTGACAAAAATTCAGTTTAGAGTTACTTCTTATAGAGTGTTCTTCTCGTTTGAGTGTAACACCTACATGTTACAACTCCCAATATACCTGTTTCGCCAACTAAAGAAATACGAAGACTTATCTATCTCAATCCCTCAGCCAGTACAATCATCTCACCCTAACTCCGTCCATACGGCCATTATCTTCCAAGCAAATCCATCATTTTCGCACAATCGGCCTAAATTATATCCGGGGCAACGAGAACGAAGCATGGCTCCGCCGCATTTCTCGGCTGTAGTAATTATTGTATTGGATTCTGGGAAGGAAACATACGTGGGATTAGGAATTATTGTCAGCGGGCATCAAATGCAGGCAAACGGCCGCCATAACAAACAATACGTTTGATTTCCTAAGCAAGACCCAATGGCGTATCATAGTAAAACAAACCAACTATATCCGTGTTGCAAACTTATTACTTGGTTATATTCCAGGATAATTCTACTTCAACAAATCAATCGGACAAACTGAGTATACAGGGTGTTTCAAATTCAAGCCTCTCCATTGGATATCTCGGAAAGTGTAAGAGATACGAAGTCGCTTAAATAGGAGCAAGGTTGCATAGATTTAGGTAATCAACAAAATCCGGCTTAGAAGGTTTCGAGACTCAAAGTACTTCTGGAGAGATACGGAAAAAACAGATTTTCCCAAAACCGTTTTAACTTTTTTCTTACTATAATTGTACCAGAATTTCAAAATAAATCGCACAATAACATTGCCACTTGTCCTCCAGCATCAGCTACATTTTCTTCATGGATTTGCCCAGATGAATACAGTTTTCAATTCTGATTTAAAAAATGTACAATTATGTCATACGTTGACATTGCGAAACCTGAGTCATTACAGAAAAGCATAAGTTCCTGGGAAGGCCTTGAAGTTATCAAATTTCCAGACCAGACCTCAAATTGAACATAGCAACACAGATTGCAAGTCTAACAATAAAATAAGAAGAGAAATAAATCGAGTAGTAAACAATATACAGAGAAGAGTCAGCCTTTGCCTGCAAAATAACGGATAACATTTTAACATCTGCTTTGATTTACCTTTGCTCATTAAGGGCCGTATCGTCAGTCGTTCTTATAACTGTAGGACGCATTTATGGACTCCTTGATTTTGATAGTTTTCTACTCTACTGGGGAGGGTGCCGTTTGACTCGTGAGATCCTAGCATTATTTTACCAGTTGTCGCCACTTTCACCTAAACAGCATGGTTAACCAGCAGAATAATTGTCGTTATTGGGCTAATGAAAATCCACAACAGTTGGCCCTTACTTCTTCGAAGAAGGTAATGGTCGTGATGTTACCATTAACTCAGAGCGCTACGTCGACATGATCACCAACTTCTTTCTCCCTGAATTACGACGGCAACGTGTTCCAATCCGACGTGCATGGTTTCAGCAGGATGGGGCGACAGCCCACACAGCCCGAGCATCCATGGAGGTTATTCGCCCTCTCTTCCCTGGTCGCCTTATTTCCAGGTTTGGCGATCTTCATTGGCCTCCTCGGTCCCCAGATTTATCCATATGCGATTTTTTCTTATGGGGACACCTCAAGGCTAGAGTATACGCGAACAAGCCCCGAACTCTGGACGAATTGAAGGGCGAAATTCGCGTGGAAGTCGCCCAAGCTGAGAGAGCGATGTTGGAGAGAGTCTACGCGAACATCCACACTTGACTGTTTCAAATGCTATTTCCTTGTGAACCTGATTCCATCAATAAATTTGTTTTCGAGTAAAAATTAACTATTTTATGATTTTTTTAAAACCGTCCATCCTCTCTGCCGCACCCTGTATGATCAAATTGTTCATTCTTTTGATTTATATCATGTTTTGTCAGCCCGAAATTTCCTGCAATTAAAAAAGAAAACATAACTTCACCATAGGAGAACGGTGACGCTGACACAGAACAGTTGCAATCTAGAAATTTTTGAAGGAGGGAAAAGGTTATGACAATCAAGGAGGCCATAGAGGCGTCCTAAGGGCTCTTCCAAGTCGACGCGAATTATTCGCAGCGGATTTGTGATGAAGAATCCGCAGCGAATTTGATGGCGGTTTCTGGATGAAGCCTCACACCAAAACGGAACATGATCATTTACGTTGGATTTTCAATAAAGGAAAGATTGAATGCTAGTGTTAAAAAGGAAAAACGAATAGTAAATTTGCTAATCTGAAAAAAATTTTACGTCATCGGATGAAGAAGAAGCACTATTGTTTTTTGCAATGGAAAACAATTTATTGAGAAATAATTTTTATCAACATCATAAAATTAGCGTGTTTACTAGCGTACGTATCATACCTCAGAAAGAGGAATGCATTCACAATAAAAACGAGAATATGATGAATTTCACACATTAATGCCGCAATTACGAAAATACGAGAAATGATCCTATATTAATTTTAGAATA